CTTTGAAATTGTTGTGATCCACATTGTTCATCTCAAATACCACGATCCACATGCATTCCACCCACCTACACCACAAAAACAAAACAAAAACGTCGCAATTTTCGATTATTTCTTTGATTTATCTCTATCTCCGTTTGGCTCACACTCACTCACTCTCACTCTATCCCTCTATCTCTTTCTGTGCCATATATTCCTTTGATTTTGTTTTTGATTTATTTAAATTTTACTTATCTATATCGATATACATCGTAGACGTTATTCACCCGCACGATTGTCCCTTAAGAAAGACTTAAAATTGCCCGCCAATATAATAGAAAATATCTCGAGCATAAGGTAAGTGCAGATATCCGTTTGATTGATTGTCCCATCAATAGATGTTACGACATATTTTATACACAAAGAAATTTAAAAAAAAACACACACACAATGCAAAAGAAATGTATGCATACATGTGTGCGTGTGTGTGTGGGCTGTACTCCACAAAGCTTCACTTGGAATCCACTTGGGAGTACATAGTTGCTCCTAATTTTAAGTTTCATGTATTGCATGTGGATTTTACCTGTAAATATAATTGAAACATATGTTTTCAGTTGCATTCCACATGTTTCCACTTGCAATGGAATCTGAATTGTAATTTCTTGATTTATTAGCAATTTCTTTCACTTTCAAAGCAAAACGAAATATTATTAAATTGAAATAGTTAATTCTTTCGTGGATTTCAGCCATAATGCACACACACACACACACACACAGAAAAATACACACACATTAGCTAATGTTTTTGGTTTTAGTGTGGCAAACTCTCAATAGTTTTGGTATTCGTATTTGCATTCGCATTTGGTTTTGGTTCTGGTTCTGGTTATGGTTACAAAATAATGGTTTATGGTCCCCTGTGAAACAAAAACCCTCTTTGGTGGCGGGCAATTCAAGGTTTGATAAAAGCCACATACACACACACAGACACACACCTAACACCTACACTCACACTTAATAGCATCCACAATTATATATGTATATTAATATGCCTATGTACATAAATCAACCGACATCCAGCCGCAGCACCACCGCACTACCATAACAGCCGCCTGCAGCGGCTAATCGCGAGTGGAACCCATCCGTAACCGCATGGGATCCACAGCAGCAGATCAGCCTGCTGCAGGCAGCAGCAAAATGACTTTTTCCGTTGTATCTGTTTTCTGTTTTATCTGCATCTGCTAATCAAATATATATAAATATATATATGTACATATAAAAATAAAAATATAATAATAAAAATATTCCCATATTTGTATATCTGCGCCCACACCACAGTCCCAGTCTGACGGGAAGGAAGTCCAACGAATTGATCCAGGGATCCCTGAGCAGCATCAAGTATGCGGCCAGCTCGCTGACCAAGAAGTTTGACGAAATCAAGGGCGCCATATCGGCCAATTCAACGCCAACGAAAACGAACAATGGCCATCAACATGCCCTGCCCCATCATCCGCACCACCACCACCACCACCATCAGCATCATCATCATCATAGTGCGCACCAGCAGCACCAGCAGGAGCAGGAGGAGCACGATGCTTCCGGCAGTGCGGGCCTCGAGGAGGGAAAACTGAGGCGCGTCTCCAGCGACCTGGATCCCTGGGGCAGGCTAAGCGAGTCGCGCAAATCCAGCTACAACAATCTGGTGCCCCTGGGCGAGAACAGCCCCAGCGGTGCCCTGCACATGCACGCGTTTCCGGCCCTGCCCGACAACCTGTACAGTCCCATGACAGAGGTTAGTGCTGGCTCCGTTGCTTGCTTGCTTCTGTATCCTACGAATGATACGCTAAGCCTCGTTTCCCCTCTTTCTGCAGGGCTCCATGGAGCGTGACTGCGATGTGCTCATCCAGTTGACGACCTGCTCGCAGTGCCACAACTGCTCGGTGCTGGTCTACGACGAGGAGATCATGAGCGGCTGGACGGCAGAGGATTCCAATTTGAATACCACCTGCCATGCCTGCAACAAGCTCACCGTTCCCTTCCTCAGCGTGCAGATAGCCCGCACGGAGGAGGGGGAGTCCAGCGAACAGCAGGCGAACGGCAACAGCAGCGCATGCGATGGCAATGGCAGCCTAAAGACCAGCCTAACAGTGCCGTATCTGAATCCGTTGGTGCTGCGCAAGGAGCTGGAGAATATACTCACGCAGGAGGGAGACATGGCGCTGATCAAGCCCGAGTTTGTCGACGAGCATCCCATCATCTATTGGAATCTGCTCTGGCTAATGGAGCGCATCGAAAGCAAGACCCATCTGCCAGAGCTGAGTCTGCCCGTGCCGGTAAGTGCTAGTCGCCAGCCTCCTCCAGAGAAAGGGGGAGGCAGAGAGAGAACTCTGTTTCAATCGGTTTTTGTGTGTGTTCTGTTTCTGTTTATGTTTGGCAGAACGACAAGGAGCACTTGGATCCGCTCAGCAAGGTGAAGACGGTGCACATCCAGTGCTTGTGGGACAATCTCAATCTGCACAGCGAGACCAGTGGCCCGCCCATGTATATACTGTACAGGGAGACGCCGACCACGAGTCCCCTGATCAAGGCGCTGCTTACCGATCAGGCGCAGCTTAACAAGAAGTATGTCCATCCCATCCCATCCCATCCCACTCAGCCACAGAGCCACGTCATTTAAGCCTGTACTCCCCTTGTCCATTTCAGTGTCATTCAGCAAATCATTTCGGCCATTCGATGCAATGATCTGGCCACGCCCCTCAAGCGACTGGCCAACGAGCGGCACAAGCTGAAGAGCAATGGTGTGGAGCGTTCGCATTCCTTCTATCGGGACATACTCTTTCTGGCCCTCACGGTCATCGGTCGCTCGAATGTCGATTTGGCCACATTCCATCGCGAGTACGCGTCCGTTTTCGATAAGCTGACGGAGCGCGAATGCAATATGTATTACCGCAATCAGGACTTGCCGCCCTCGGCCTCAACGATCTTCTGTCGGGCGTACTTTCGACCCTTGCTGCTGCCCTGACGCACTCGGGATGGCGGCTATACTGCCTCCGATCCCGATCCAGATCCAGATCCAGATTCTGAGCCCGATTCCGGCTCCGATCTGAGCGATGAGAGAACGGACGAAGATCGAGACGGAGATGCAGATGCAGATGCTGACGAAGAGGACGGCAATGGAGATACAGATGAGGAGACCTAAAAGGATAAGACGACCAAAAACAGAAAAAAGAAAGAAAACAATTTGAATGAAGAGTAACTTTGACAAGAAGAAAACGCTTATCATGCAGACAGACACACGACACAAACACTGACACACATAGACAAACACACACACAGACACTCCTTCCTTTACTGACAAATATTTGAACATAATTATTGAGTACTTAACTTGAAATTTTCGTTGCACTTTGAACGATGGCAGCAGCAGCGGCAGCAGCGGCGGTGTTTGTGTCTGTGTGCTCCATCCCCAAATCGACTGGTTTCTGTGACAATATACACACACACACACACTACACTCATATACAGTGCGTTTCAAGCCCTTAGATGCTAAATGCTAAATGCCTAAATGCTTTTTTTTTAATACTTTTTTTTTTGTTGTTGTAATTTAAGCTGAAAACTTACGTTTTATTTGTCCTGAAGCAACTGTTGCTTGTAGTGTTTCTGGTATTTGAATGGGATCTCCACGAAGTAGCAAAACATTTTCAATTTTCTTCAATCTCCAAACACGAGCATCGAAATGCGATGCATTAATAATTCATTTGTAATTCACTAAAACACTTGCAAACATTAAGTTCTTGGCTAGAGGATATAAGTTCCATAAACTGCCTTCGATTACCATCCCGACAGCATCTCCCATCTCCCATCAGTAATTGTAATTACAGCGATTACATCTAGGTTTCAATGACAGCACTTCTAAGCTGATTACATTGTCTGATTTTCAGTTAAGCCATCAATCTGAGATCCAAAACTAAATCTATAAATCTAATTTTTTTGGGGGCTATAACCCGAGTCGGAATTAATCGTTAAGCAACTTTGTTGCCTGAACTGTTGCCTTGCATCGCTGAAACGCACTGTATACAGTACAGTACAGTATACAGACATACAAATAAGAAAAGAAAAGAAGAACCTAACTTGGATAAGTGTTTTCCTCACATTAACATGATTCAAACTCTCGACCCTCGTCATATTTGCCTTATTATATATAATATAACGATAACCATAACGATAACGATACATGTGTGTGTGTATGTTTCTGAATATACATACATGTACATTGGATTTGTCTATATGTATGTATGCATGCATGTGTGTGATCTTTTATATCATTAGAAGCATTGTGAGAAACTCCTCTCCTCTCCCCCACCCACCCACTGCCCTCCACAACTACTCCCCCAGTACACACGCTGGCTTGCATCCGCCTCCCTCCAGTTATTTCCAAAATAACTAACATAGCTCTTATTTGTGTAGATGTTGCGATTTCCTCACAATGCTCCCCGAAGTCGAGTCTTTTAGTTAGCTTAGCGAACTTTTGGCTGCGGCTTACATGGGAAGAGGGGATATATGGGGTTGGTATTGGTATTGGTATTATTTAGGGAAAAGACAAAATGGAAAGGAAACAAATGAAACAATTAAACAACGATTAAACACACTAGCAATAATTTATGAACAAAATCGTAAATCAATTTAGATGGATTGTTAATTACAGTCCAAAGTTTTTAAAGACAAACAACAACAACAACAACAAAAAACAAGCACATACCGCACACACACACACACACACACACAGCCACAGACTGGGAAAGACAGAACAGGTACACACACTCTCACTCACTTATAGATACATATACATATATATATTTCAGCCACAATCAATTTTTTTGTCGGGCATCTTAACTAATTGTATATTTAATAATTAAATTAATACAAAAAGCAAATAAAAAAAACAAAACAAACACACAAAAAACAAAAACATGAAAATGTCAAAAAGAATAAACAGAAAAGTTTTAAAAATAAAATTCCAAATTGTTTTCCATTGCCATTTATATGGGGAATATATGTGATAGAAGTGATAGAGGCGGCTAGAGGATTGATGCATACGCATAAGCAGGTCTTAGACCTAGGACGACATAGGTATATAGATCGGTTGCTCCAAGGACTGATGACAGAGAGAGAGAGACAGAACACACAGGAAAAGTGTGTGTGACAGGTGATAGATCGTCTACCATAGAGACGAGTTGCACATACGAGTATGAGAACTTTACGAGTTTACTTAACATTAGGGACGTTGGGAGTCGAACGCGAACACATAATGAAGTTAAGTAAAGTACATATTTATTTGAATGCTAGAGAATATGCGAGGAGTAAATGTAATAAGCATTCGCTTATTTTATCTGTTATATTTATATTTGTGTTAATGTTAAAATGATTCGACAGCATCGTTCATCGTTCATCGTGGAATTGGAATTGATCTAGTTCGTATGGGCGTAATTACAGATCGGGTATTCATACGCTTAGATCAAGCATTCTACAGAACAGATCTACAGACGAGTAAGGGGTAGGTAGGAGGTTGTCCATACAAGCAAAACGTACATCGGTGGATATTATATGATTATATTAGATGATAACTTATACAAAAAAACGAGTTAATAATGCTACGAGGATGTGTCCCATTGGCCAGTTGTCGTGTGGGAGGACTGCTAGTCGGATAGCAGCACCACCTCCGCCGCTGCCGCTGCCGCCGCACTGTCGTTAGCTTTGGTTGGTGGCCTCTTCGGAGCCGTCTTGTTGCTGGGACTCGCATCGCTCTGGCGGCGCAGGAACTGGCTAATGAGGCCGTTCTTCGCGGCGCCGGGGCTGGACAGTTCCCGGGGCCCGGATATCAGGGTGATCCGCTTCTTGGGGGCCACCTGCTGCGTCGGAGTGCTGGGCATGCTCGACGCATCCACTGGGGCCACCGGCGACTCCTTGCCCTCCTTGGGTGGTTGCTCGGGCTCGGCGGGCGGGCTAAGCTCGTGCTGTGGCGGCGTCTCCGGCTCTGTGATCTTGGGGGTGAGCGTGTACTCCCATTGATTCTGCACCGACAGCTCGGCCAGCTGGAATTTCTCGAGCATCTCGGGGCCCACCATCCAGCAGAGGCGCTTCTTGGGCTTCTTCGATTTCTTCGCGCTGCTGCTGCCCGCTGCAGCGTCTGGCGTGGAGAGCTCCATAGTCGACCAGGTGGCCAGTTCATCGAACTTCTCGCGGATCAGGGCCTTCGACGGCAGCAGCAGCTGCGACTCCTGGCCGGTCTGCGTCTTCAGGTACTCCAGATATTCGGAGATCAGGAAGGCCTTCGCGTTGCGATTGCCATGCGTGAGCCGCACCAGCTGCTGCAGCAGCCGCTCGTCCAGCTGCAGGGGGCTGGATGGGGCGGTGGCAGCCGCCTCCTCCCGCACCGTCTCTGGCGGCGGCACCATGCTGACCGGCTCCAGTTGCCAGCTGCCATACGAGTCGATTGTCTGGGCAAAGATGGCCGGACACAGCGGCGACTTGTTGCCGTTCTCGTCCAGCCAGACGGGCCCGAGGAGCCGTGGCTTGATCTTTCTCGTCTGCTTCTTCATCTCCTGGGCAAACTCCTGCTGGAGCACCTGCAGCTTGGCCTTCTGGGCCTCGCGCGTGTGTCCGTCATCCATTTCGCCATCGTTCTGCAGCTCCTCGTCACTGAGATGGCCATGGGGCACATACCACTCGTTGTACTCCTCCTCGGACTCCTCCTCAGACTCGCGCTCCTTCTCGTCCTCGCTGGCGCTCAGCGACTCGCCCGGCTCCTCCTCCTCCCACTCGCAGTCCGAGTCAACTTCGTAGTCAAAGTGCACCTGCAACCAGAACGGGGACAGGTTCAATCGACATTCAATCTCGTGAAGAAAGTTGCCACTCACCTTATCCTGGGCCAGGGGGCGACGGGCGGAGATGGACTGGCTCCTCTTGCGCCAGGTGCCATAGTACGGAGGCCGACGATTGTCGGCAAACTGCAAATACTTGGCCCTCATCCTGGGCATCTGCTTGGCCTGCTCCTCCTGCTCAATGGGCGTGCCGGCATTGGTCAGATCATCTGCTCAAATGGAGCGATAGATTAGATATATCCAGCTACAGAGAAACGCTGCAAGATTATGAGCCGCCTACCTATCACCTGCACCTCCTCCTCGCTCTCCTCCTCCTTGGTGCGCCGCTGCAGCCGCACGTCGCGCTGCATCTTGAGGGGCTGGCGTGTGCCTTTCCCCAGCTCCGACAGGTAGAGCTGCGCGCGGTTGGGTCGCTTGCGGCGGCCAATTTCCTCGGGTTCCTCCTCGTCATCCGATGCATCCTCGTTGCGCTCGCGGAAGAGGCCATCCAGCTGGGAGCGCTGCTTGCCGCCAAGGCAAGCCCGCACGACGGGGGCCAGCAGCATGTCGTCCTTGACCTGGAAGGGACGGAAGGCCAGCGACTGGCAGCTCATCTTGGTGCTGTCGCAGCTGCTCTGCTCCTGCTCCAGTGTGGCGGAGACGTCCAACCCTGGGCCCGAGCCGGAGCCGGAGCCCTTGGGCTGCTTCGGGACAAAGAACTTGGTGAAGGATTCGGCAGCGCGCTTCTTCTTCTGCTCGGCCTCCTCCTTCTCGAGCTCCTTGCGGCGCTTCTCCTCGTCCCGCTTGCGCTGCACCTCCTCCTTGGCCTCGTTGCGCTTGCGCTTCTCCTCGTTCTTCGTGTCGACCTCGGCCTGGCGCTTGCGCTCCTTCTCCTCGCGCTCTTTGCGCCTCAGCTCCTCCTTCTCGTCGCGCTCCTTGCGCCGCAGCTCCTCCTTCTGGTCGCGCTCCACCTTGCGCTGCTGTTCGCGCTGCTCCTTCTCCTGCTGCTTGAGGCGGCGCTCCTCCTGCAGCTTGTGCTCCTTCTCCTCGCGCGCCTTGCGCCGCTGCTCGAACAGTCGCTGCTGCTTGGGCGTCAGCGCCTGGCCCGTGGCCTTCAGGTCGCCGTCACCATCGCCACCAGCGACGTCATGCACGCTCCTTCGTCTGTTAGCCTTCTCCTTGACTCCCACTGTGCCCCTGTCGGGTGTGTCAGTATCCACCTCCATCTCGTGATCGGTGCTGGACTGATCGGACTTCTCGTGGTCGCTGTCGCTGCTGGAGAGAATCGCCACATCATCATCGTCGGGCGAATCGTCCTGGCTGGCTGTTTTATCCTCTGTTTGCTCAACTGTCGTCTGCTTCTCCTCGTTCTGGCTGTTCTCCGACTCTGGCCGCTGGTCCAGCGCCTTTTTTGTTGGTTGATCCAACGTTTTTCTCTTTCCTGTCGCATCGAGATCCTCTTTTCGGACGTCCTTCTCCAGGGGGGAGTCCGATTTGGGGTCCTGTTTCTTGGCTTTCGGTGACTTGTTGTTCTTTTCGGCCTTTTGCTGATCCCCCTTCTTGGAGCTTGCCAATGTTTGGGCATCTTTGACCTTCGTTTCTGCCTTCTCCCCTTTGCTCTTCTGCTCCTTGATCTTCTCCTGCTCCGTAATCTCTTCCACAGTTTGTACAACCTCCGCCGTGATCTTCTCCACAGCATTCAGCACCTCCTCCTTGCTTTGCTCCACCGTTTCAAGCTCCCTCTTGCCGTTTACCACTGTCTTTGCCTGTGTCGCCTCCTCTTTCTTGCACTTCTCTGCCGCTGGATCTGGATCTGGATCAGTCTTCTTGCTTTTGGGCAGCATCACTTTCAGCCGCTTTGGGGAATGCACCTTCTCGGCAATGCGTTCCACATCATCACACGAGTCGCTCTCGCTGACTGGCACCACTTGGGGGGCAACCTCTTTGGCGGATGCCTCCTCCGGAATCTTGGCGGACTTGCGCCGCTTGGAGCCGCGTTTGCTCAGCAGCGGCAGCTTGATTTGTATGGGCGATGTAGTGGCCTTCTCCCTGGGCCTCGGCTTGGCCTTCGGCTTGATCTGAATCTTTGCTTTGGCACCAGCTGGCGCTGGCGCTGAAGTTTTTTTCTCCTCCTTCTGCTCCTTCTCATCAATGTCCTCGTCTGCGTCGTCATCGTCGTCCAGCTCGATGATTTCCTCGGCCATGGCCAGCACTTCCAAGATCTTCGGCTTCTTGACAGCTCCCACAGCCACAGCCGCGCCCACGGCCAGGTTCTCTTTGCTGTTGGAGCGCCGCTGCTGATCGAGTTGCGGGGTGTCATCGCTGCTGCTCTTTTCTTCGCTGTACGAGAGCCTGCGCTTGCGTGGCTCCTGTGCCGGAGGCTCCTCCGATGTCAGGGCATCGCCATCGGGCTGGGCCCTGGTACTGGAAGACGTGGAGGTGGCTGCTGCTGTCGTTGATGCAACCGGGGTGATCAGCTTGAAGGGGAGACGTGTCTGGACCAGCTTCTTGCCACCGCTGCCAGTGGTGCAAGTGCGCTCCGCTGGTTTCTGAACCGCATCTTTGGTATTAGTTTTACTGCTTGGTGTGTGGATAGTGCCGGCGGGCATATTCAAGCGTTTCCTTATGTTCTTCTTGTAAAATTTTGCCGCTTTTCCTTAGTTTATTTTTTGATGGAAACCGCGGGAAACATACAAGCTAGAGGTGTCAAACCATCGAAGGCACTATCGATAGTATCGATGTTTTTCTGCTAGCCGCTACTATCGATGGTTTTGCGACTATCATGATAGTATCGAGCTACAGTTGTTGCGCTTTTGATATGTTTGGATTGGCTGCTCTAAAATACGAAGACAAATTTGTAAACAAACTGACGGGTGACATCTAATTTTTACAATGGACAAGTTCTTAAAAGGTTTCAATGGTTGTTTAATAATTATTTCAGCCCGATACTATCACGATAGTTTCGATTGTGTTTTCAATACATTCGACGTTGATATTCCTCGATATTGATATTCCGTTTAATATTACCAGCTAGCAGGGACTCTCAGCCCTAAACAAATAATTTTATCCGATAGATACATACATTTTTCAAGAGATTGGCAAGTTTTCAGAAGTCCTTTTTATTAGATTATTTACATATTAAGGTTCCAAAAAAAAAACAGCATAAAACGAATTTGTCGTCGTTTTGTGGCGTTGCCAGACTCGTGCAATTCGTAGTTGCTGCGGGCTGCCATACCGTGATATTTTGTGATATGAAATTCGTCAATTTTGATATTCAGTTTAATATTACTAGATAGTTGGCCCTCTCAGCCGTAAACAAATAATTTTATCCGATATATACATACATTTTGTTCAGGATTGGTTAGTTTTTAGAACTCTTTTTCATTGGATTGTTTACATATTAAGGTTCAAAACGGCCAAAGCATAAAATTTGAATGTTGACTAAATGTTACGTCAGTGTTGTTGGTCAACCAAGTATCTTCTATGCGTATGTACTTTTGTATACCTTATTTCTTTTAATTGGTGTTAAATGTTTTGTTCCAAGCTCCATTGAAACATTATTTATGATTTTATCCTAGATTGACATGTTTTTTACATATTAATGCACATGTTTGTGTGTTATAAATACATTTATCCCGGTTCTGATACCTATTATTGGTAGTCGTGAGCTGCAAAACTTTGTTAAAATCTTTAGAACAGAGACTGAGTAGTTTTTGCATTAATTGGAGCCTGGAAATTCAAACAATATCTCAAGTCCATAATATCCATTTTCCCAAGGTATGCAGATTGTTGCTCATTCCGTGCCAAAGTTGCACAACAGTGCTGCTACTTCATTTCCCCATGTTGCTGAAATTTTTCCCATACAAATCAAATGTATCATACGGGAACGCGTATGGAATGACGCAACAATGAATCTTTATGCAAATATTAATCGAGGATCAGTGTTGGCTAGCGTACAATTAGGGTGAGCATTTTACGCGATCGTTACAATTGAAATTTGTAAATGCATCAATTTAATTGCATTCGCATGCGGACACACTTTAGTAATTACTATTTTGTACCTTTTGAGCAGCAGCTGCCAAATATTTGTTTACTTAGTTTAATGTGGCGTTTTTGCTAATCCCAGATAAGTGGTGAAAGGGAGACGATGAGTGACGAGACGCCTGCGGCCACATGCAAACCCCCACACTCACCCACACCCCTCACAACATCACTCATCTTTTATGTTGGTCTCCTGCCCTAAAACCCCTTTTGGCTTTGGCTGGTTGACATGGTGACCTGATCCGAGAGAGACCCGCCTGCGGCTCCTGCTGCTGCTGCTGCCACTCCCCTGCTCCTGACTGACTGCGAATTACATTCCATTGAATTACAATTTATTTCAATAGCAATACCAACCAACACGCACTATCCAACGCGGGGATAAGCGGTGGGTGGGTGGGCGTCGGATGCGTGGCGCTTGCGGCTAGGGCTGGGGCTGGGGCTGGGACTGATGTTGGTGGGATGTAACTACTTTTGTATGAAAACGAACACAAACACACACACGCACACACACACACACACACGCACACGAGTATAAATGCGGAATTGCAACTGCTGCACAAGTGTCTCCTGTACAGTGGTGTCCAAGGGTCTCCAGATAGCACCCAAAGGGACCTTTTGGTTCGTCTCTTCTCTGTGTGACCACTGTTCGACTTGATGGTATTCTTTGTCTGTGGCACGGCACACTACTGTAACCCATTTAACTTTCACTGCAAATCTTGGAATCTAATATTGACATGTGTGTGGCAGCCACAAAGGAGGCGAAGGCCAGGCCAACTCCTGCTGCGGTCGCCGCTTGCGGCTTTTGTTTGATGATGGCGGGGGGTTGGGCGGCTGGATTGTGGCATGAATGAAGTGGGTCGGACATGTGCCATATTACACGCATTTAGGCCTGGCCCCGGCACAGGGATTTGCCCACACACACCCCCCGGCTGTCCGTCATCGACTCCTTTAATAATGATAATAATAATTTTGCATTGATTCCGCTGGGAGTTGCAGGAAAACTACGACGATGCGGCTACGACTACGACTACGATGGGTACGAGTACAAAACGGGGCGTAAAATGGAAATTCGGTGATGCATGTAAACGAGAGGAGGAGGAGAATTTGGAAGCTGTGGGTAATAGAAAATCTATTAGCGTACACAGAACCCTCCCCCCCATCCCCCATCCCCCATTCAGGGTTGCGAGGGCACAACACATCCTTTTTTGATGACACGCAAAAGGCAACAGACACAAAAAAATTGCCAGCTAAAACACACACAGAGGGCAATGCACGAGGCACACACGGGAAGGCGCAGACAGCGAACCTGAAATTAGAGACCTGTTGGCGTGAAGGTGGAGCGTGGCATGACAAGACTGTCAGACGGAAGGAACGTTCAAGCTGACTGAAGGATATACTGACAGTCAGTCCAGAGGCTCGTCTCGGCTCGGCTCGTATGCTGATATTTCCCTTCATTTTTTCCCTTGGTTCTCTTAACTTTTACATACTTGGAACATGCTCGTACAACATTTGTAGCTCATTTGCACAGTGGTCCTTGGGCTGTGAAGAAAAACGAACAGAAACGAGAAGGAACGTGTGAGTCGCTTCTGGGGACGGACTCATACCCGTACTCAGTCAGTATATCATTTTTGATTTATGATTTTTTAGAATTTTAGAAAAAAAAATTTACATTTTACATTTTTTTGCTACATCTGATATCTACATCTACATCTACAATGTATATTCTACATCTAACATGTAGATTGTACAATGTACATACATGCTCCATTTAGATTCTACATCTCCTCCGCTCGCGCACTGAACGCGGCAGAGTGTGGCGAGGGAAAATGAGTTTCGTTGTCGTCGGAGGGGGACAGGGGAAGCAACTGAAAATTAATTTCTTCATTCTGGCTATAATTATGATCCGATCTGATTCAGATTCGGCAGTCTGGTAGATTCTCTACGATACTGCGTTTTTAGTTTTATCGTATCTTTAAAATGTGCCTGCCACAGATTTTCGTCCTTTGTGGGGTCGGAGGGGGCGGGGCATTTTGAATACACTTGTAGCAGTGTGATATCACATGAGTGTGGAAACCAAATTTGGTTGCCCTAGCTCTTATAGTCTCTGAGATAGGCGCTCAACAAGACGGACAGACAGACAGCGGACAGACGGACAGACAGACATGGCTCTATCGACTCGGCTATTGATGCTGATCAGAATATATATACTTTATGGGGTCGGAAACGTTTCCTTCTCTGCGTTACACACATCCACTTTTACCCAAATCTAATATACCCCTTAACTCTTTTTTGAGTACGGGTATAAAAAAAGATCCAAAAGTTGCATCAACACCAAAGAATCTTCTCGCTAAAATATATTTGTATTTGGGACTCTTTAGCAGGCTCTAAATAATACCACCCTTAGTTTAATTCCTATTAGTAAACTTCCTTCCATTGATTTGAGGACATATTCTACAGCCCAGTGTCAGGCAGGGACAGGGACAGGGTCCAAAGCAATCGCAGTGTGGTGTATTGTATTTAAGTAATTGGAGGGTAAAATGTGTTTCCAATTTGTTGTACTACTCGTGCTGTGCTGCGCTACCTATTCTAGCAACATTCCCCCCATTCCTCCCATTCCCATTTGTTTCATTTCGCTTTTCTTCTTTCGCTTTAACAGTTGGATGGGTGGGTGGGGTAGTGGGAGTGGGCGGCGAGCGGTAAAGAGCAGAACAGAAACAAGATTGAAAAAAGTATTGAATTACATTTATACAACATTTGGTTGAATAGCTTTTCGGGTGGCATGGCATGGCATGGTGTAGAGGGGAGGGCTCTGGTCGAGTGTTGCGGTTTGAGTTTCCTTTTGTTGAGTGCTGGATGGATGGATAGGTGGGTGGTTGGGTGGGTGAATGGTTTGTTCGGGCTTTGGCGATTAACGTGCCTCGCCGCTCCTGCCGTGTGGTGTGGCGCGGCGCGGCGTGGTGTGGTGTGGTGCGTAGTAGTATATTTGTGGCTTCCATGGGTGTCTGTCTGTCTTTTAGACTGGAATGGAACATGGACAGATATCTGAGTGGAACAGAAGTGAAGTGGGGGGCTTGTGGGATTCCCGCAGGAATATCGCGCTGCCTGAAAATTCATTAGTTGCCCATTTTTATGCTATTTTCTTTCAATGATAAAAGATGCACGCATGCATGCATATACTGCTTGATTCTGCTGCTTGGTGCTGCTTGCTTTTTCTGCTGCTTGCTTTTGCTGCTGCTGCTTTATTATGCTATTTGAAGGGAGCATCGGCATCGGCATCGGCATCGGACACGCATTAAAATTGTAACAGTCGACAAAGTGAAACACAGACAGACAGACAGACAGGAAAGGGAGGATGGAGAATGGAGAATGGAGGAATGACAGGTAGTTGTTGGTAGGGAACAGCCAGCTCAGCGGAGAAGAGATCGGTTCGGGTTTTCGGGTTGACGCACACTTGCCTTGGGCAACGAACGTCCTTCGGTTACAATGGCACTTTTGTGTGCCGCTCCGTTGCCGCACTGCCGCACTACCGCACTGCTGTTGCCGGTGTCTTTTCCGGACTTGCATTTCCCACACTTTTCACTCTCCCACTTCTCTACTCCACGCTGACTCGCTCGACCCACGCTGCAACAGATTTTGGATATTGCTTCTTTTGATACCATTCCATTCCGTTTC